AATTTATATTATTGAACAATTTCTCCGAGATACTACTTCATTTAAGTATAAATCATAGGAATTATTCAGAGTAATGTCTATCTAATAAATAAACCTTTATTTTATGGAATATCCGAAATTGTTTAATGAACTCTATTGTATGTTGTTTTTAACGCGGAGAATCGCTTTTGAACATAATTCCCAGACCCACTCAACCCTATCGAGACACGCATACTTGAACTTTTCCTTATCAAATAATTATTTTCTGTCTTTGACTTAGTTGCTTTGGTATTCTCCAAGGTTTGTGTATAGTATCATAATATTAAATTCGTATAAAATAAATCAATTTCATATTATTTGGAAATTTCATATTTCCTACGAACGATCACGCTCTGTTCTAATTAATATTTTTCGTCAGACGAAAAATTAAAGCTAAAAAGCGATAATCATTTTTGTATAAGCGTATTAATTTATGCCTTTATCTTTTAATTTTATTAGGAAATGACAATTATGTCATGATCATTTATTGCGATAAAAATCGGTTTATTTTATTTTCGTTCTTACTGAAGCATTTTAAATTTATACATTCCGTCGACTACAAACAGAAATGTATTTTTAGTTTACACGACCTTATTATATTCTTATAAGAGTTACACGATTTTCGATTATAAAACATACACGCAAATGAAAAAAGATTAAATATAAATTACTCTTGTAATAATTTGCATATTTTATTTTTGATCCTTATAATCACAAACAAAATATTCCGCTTACAATTTAGCAGTAAATCTGAGAAATAATGTCAATTGTTTAAAAAAAATTAACACAAGTTGAAAAATATATATACTTGCGGGTTGTAAAAATGATGACGTTCTATTTTTCGAAATCGCAGTAAAATTTGTACGAAACGAATAATTATCAAAACGAATTATTAAATAGATATATTAGTAACGTAACATCAATATCAATTGGTAAAAAGGCAAGTATTTTATTATTCATAAATATTGACGATTCTATACCTAGTAGTCGTCGCCATTGTAAACGCGTAAATTAAAAGTTATTTATTTATTTTACCGAACATATCGTAAAACAAATATGCAGCATTATCACCTTTACACATTAAAAAACCCAGCACAGTGGGGTCGCGGAACAGTGGTGATATGGCATATTTGGAACAAGTATAATGATATCTAATAGTGATTAAAATCACTATCATAAAAAACGCTTCGTGCCAAATTTTAATTTGTGTTTAATTTTTAAAAAATTGGTAGATTATTCCAAAAGCTACATGATCTGCTATTTCCTTATTTATATCCTGATAAAGTATGTCGAATGAAAGATGTATATAAATACTACTTCTCATGAAAAAACTGTATTGATTCATACATTTTTTGAAAAGTTATAGCATTTTAAAGTAAACAATGTAAAATATAAAATCGAGAATTTTCACACAATAATAGCATTAGGTAGCCATTTTCACCGTTTAAAATAAAGTCCAAATTTTTTTTTTCATAATAAAGTAAATTACAATAGCTTTAATTTAAAATATATATATAAGTGTCAGACTTTCCGGAACACTTTCAAAAGTTAAGTTGAAAAAGTTAATTTTTTGTGAAAAACTTGTCATTTTAAATCCCCCCTGTGGGCAGGTAAAGGGTCAGATTATTTATAAATATACCAAATGTTAGGTAAAGACATAAAACATCTATAAAAATAAAAATTATATTGATATATTCATATTTGAAAAAGTTATGGCAGTTTAAAGTAAAAAAAATTGAAAATATTTGAAAATTAGCGATTTTTAAATTTGTAATATTTTTGGAGGTTTCCCCCATTTAGGTGGATCGAGGGAAATTTTTTTGATTTTTGAGGGTAATGTCTTCGACTAGATACGATTTGTGATCTTTTGGCGTATCGTTGACAGAAATCGGTCCAGTGAGAGCTGAAAAAACGTGGTAACAGACACAAAAAAAAATATCATAGTAAAACCAATACCTTCACAGCTTTGAATCGAAATTGCTAAAAATTACTATTGAAATTTCGTCAAACATACATGAAAACGCATAAAAATATTGAGTTATTAAACGATTTTTGACTTTTTGTAACTGTTTTTATATATCGAGTTGTTTCAATTATAATAAACTCCGAGAGTAAAAAAATGACTATTTTTATTACGTTCAGTTAATTAGTATAGATCGATTTTCAATATTAAACTTAAGTTTTTTAATTGAAAAAAATTTCACACGAACTGCCGTGAATGAAACTAAAAAAAAAAAAAATCATTTTTAACAAATCGCAGTAGCTCTTAGAAGATAACTTACTTTTATTTTTTATGTGTAGACTCGCGTATAAAAAAATAATAATACTAAAACGTAGATACCAGGAGAACGGGGAGATTCACTATGAATTCGCGTAGTCGATTACTCAACTGCATGTATTGCATTAAAGGCTGAAAAACCACAGCCTTTAAGTCGCAATAACTTTTTGAGGTCTTTTGTTTGTCGGTTTTTTTTTTTTTATGTCGGACGGTACTTCTCGGAGCAATTTATTTCTTGGCTTTTTATGTGCTGCCGCGCTATTTTATTTAAGTATATAGTGCCCTAAAGTGAGAATCGCTCGTTTTATTTTCTAGGAACTGGTCGAGATTATGAGGGGGGGGGCGACTCATGAACTCGTAAAGAAAGCATCGACAACAGTTGAAAAGCAAACGGCCCGCTCGGCGGTAATCTATTACAAATAACACATCGACTGATTTGTTATATTTACATTGCCCCGGGTCCCGTGGAATGTAGCCAAGATAAACTGCAAACTAAGTAAACAAAAAGTCGCCATAATGATTTACCTTTGTGAATTATAGAGTAACCTGCAGTGTTTGCAATCGATAAAGCATATTCATCCCGAAATAGTAATTATAAAGTAATATATATAGAATAATTTTCCGAATAATAACAATTATGTTCAGTGCTGAGTCGGAGAAGGGTTTGAGGTGAATACCGCGGAGAGAGAGAAATTTCCGGGATTGTTCTCTCGGTCGTAGCCAAAATCACCCTCGCCACCCACACCCCGACCGAGTATATTCAAATGATTCGCTTTTATTTTATTGCTACCCCCGGCCTAGAGTCGACCCCGTGAACTCCACCACAAACACATTTTCCTCTTTACGCACTCATTCGTTCCCCATGCCCATTACGTACGTCCTTTATCCGCACAGCGATACGCACACCCAAGTAAAAGTATATAATAATAGCTATTTTCATCGAATCGCTTTTGTTTTTTACCTACGGCGCGGCACAATAGTGTTTTTTCATCGCACGATAATACACGACAATAAATCTAATAGATTTTCAACACCTCTAATGTACTCGAGCAAAACGTACAACAATAAATTAATAATACACCCCCAAAGTGCTGACCCTTGTTTTCTATGTGCCATATCCGTAAACATATTCTGTAAAATTACCACCGACCGATAGTTTATGACGAGTTATCACGTTATTCGGCGCGCCTACTTCTTAGAAAACTAAGCGTACGTTAAATAAATAAAAAACCAAACCAATCTTCACGCATAATGCTAATTATGTTTGAAAGTTGATATGCCCAAATTTCGGCGCGTTGCATAATTTAAATGTGTAAACTCGATATTTCACTAGTTTTTTATATTAATCGGCGGCCGCGACATTAGTATTCTCTGCTTAGACCGCGTCTGTTCAATCGATGTGTTCAAATAACACGGTTTTTATTAATTTTATGTGTTCGACTTGGGAATTATTCATTGAATTTCGATGTTAATATAAAGTCAATGGATAGCATCATGAAAGTGAATATACTTAAACTTTATTTTCATAAACAGTTATGGGTTTGTTTGGATGTAAATGTTTTTTTTTTTTTGTGAAATTCACACCGAAGTAGCGCATGCATATTGTATATAATTTAAACAAAATTCAAATTCTAGTAGCTGAATTTATACAAACAATCCGTTTAAATTTTACTCGGAAGATGTGTGTGTGTGTGTTTAAATTTCTCTTTGTCTACATCATTTTACATCTTATTAGTCGGATCCGAGTTTTAGCGATCACTGATTTTTTCTTCTCGGTAACGGATCATTTCAATAACTCGGATAATAAAACATTTCGTTCATAATTTTTTTCTCGGAAATACAAGTCAAACGAGGTTCAGAGGAGGCGCATTGGAAGATTATAATTTATATCGATAAAATCGTATCGGTTTTTCCATAATAAACGTTTTATTTTTTTCCACAATTTATTACATTCCGAGATGATTTACACTGATATTTTCCTTCCTCCGACCATAAAAACTAAAAAACCGAATCGCTTAATAAAACTGCCGTTTTTAGTCGATTTTTTTTTCAACTTTAATTAAAATTAAATCCTATTGCGGGGTTTTATCTGTCTCTTCTCCCGACCCGGTGCTCTGCAGAGTATCAAACGCGGAAATCACATTCGAACAACGTTTTCTCGGCAGATTACAATTGTAAAAGCCGAGTAACCAACACGCTTGATTTTGTGCTGAACGCCAACCGGGAAAATCGCACCACTGTTTTTGAAGAGACAATTTATTAGTTTGTACAATTAACGATTTATTAGGCATACACAAATCCGCGCGATTCGTGGTCGCGTGCAATCCGAACCGCAATAAATTTCGGCTAATCGTTGTTGTTTCTTTCCGCCGAGAATAACGTGATTTACGCGGCGGGCCCATTAAAAAATGGATTTAGCGGCATAGTATTCGGCCACTCCAAGTTCGCACACATCGTCTTAATTTTCCACTCCTACTCGTCGCCCGTTCTAAATATACCCAAACCATAACAGCGACATTATTTTTAGACGGACTCGGTCGCACACGTAACTCGGCAAATGCACCGGCAGACACGGTGCGCGCATCTCTGGACGTGTGCGACTTTGGCCTAAATCCAACGCGAATTGTTCAAAAGAAATAATTGCACTTGTAGTTTTGCGGGAGAGTAACTGTGCGATTCACAACGCGTTAATTATAAAAGTTTCGTGCCGTGGAAAACGCGGTCGATAAACATACCCACCGGATGATTATAATGTGAATTAATGAACGCCGTTGGAGTAACCGCGTGTCTATATTTGAACGGGCCGCCGTCGAGAACAAAGCGAACGGGCAGAGTTTACAATGAAACGGCGCGAAAGGAGCAGTGGTCGTCGTCGCGTTATGGTTTAGAAACCGGCTGCTGTTGAAGGAAACGCGCGTTTGTCTGTACTTTTTAATGTACAGCCCAACCCATTACAGCGTGTCGTGTAAATGAGAAATATTCGACCATCGAAACTCGATTTTCATCGCACAGTTATGCGCGTCGCGTGGAAACATCGATGACGATGATTATTACTCTTAAAATAATAAAAAGCGTCCGGCCCAGAACGACCGAAACAACACACACGTCCCAGTTGTTGTTTTCACATTGGACGCGTCAATCGGAGCGGATTTAATTTCGATTTTCGATCGCCCGCAAATTACTATAGTAGTCTGTTATGCTAATGTGTTTAAACGTAGAATAATATTATGGTAATTTTCAATGGATTTTGTTTTCGTCCGATAAAAGCACACGGAGAGAGAGAGAGAGAGACGGACGAGAACCGAATCGTGTTAATTTCTCCGGCCGGTACTCTATTACGTCCAAGCGCAAGCCGTTCGGCTTATTTACGCGCACAAAAATTGCCATCGTGCAATACACAAAGAGTAATATGACAGTAATTAAGAGCAGACGCGTATAGGATATCCTGTAAAACACTTATTTGAGGCGTGCGAAAACTAGGTGTATTAGAGTCTACACGCGGTAGGTTCGCAGGGAGAGACGGGCGGCAACAAACCGGTTGGGTTTTCGGGCGCGCTAAATCGCCGAGGGCCTCGCGACGGTATCACGATAAAACGAGAGTTGTTTATTTCCATTAGAAAGAACCCGTTTCTTGGCCGTTTCATCTCTCTTTCGACAAATCCAACACAAGTTTTTCTACTCGATTAGTATTGTGGTAGTTTTCGCTCGGAACTGTAGTGTGTGTAAAGTTCGGGTTCGTTCCGGCCGTCGCTGCCGAAATATCTGTTTACCATTATCGTTTTTTTTTTTTTTTTTTTTTTCACAACAAAACTGTAGTACCTTTTAATAATCGCACGGAATTTCCGTTTTCCGATCGACCCAAGTGAATGGCTACTGTTGATGAAACTGTTATTTGTCTGTCTACGTATCGGAAAGGACCTTGAACTTGGTAGTTTTGGTCGTTGACAACGTAAAAATAGATACGAAGATGAATTGCACACGGTATAAATTAACAACGAAAACGACGATTCGGGTGAGTGACATCAACAGCACGTTACCGAATTGTTTTATTTTATTTCCTTTAATTGATATTGTCGCTGACGAGCAAATCATTATTATTATATTTATTAATGATTTATTATATTTTTTCAATTTTTAAGAGCGAAATCCCTCTCCCTTAAACAATTACCTTTTAATTTAGTTAAAAGGAGTATGAAAATCTCGTAAGAAAACTTATTTACGAGAGGAGATGAATATTTTTAAGGTAATTCTTTAAGCTCTATATATATATATATATTTTTAATGTCATTAATCTTAAGTGACTCTCCGAAAAAAATGTGGAAAAATAAATGATTTAATTCAATCTGAAACTACGTTTTATATTGTTATTTGTTGGGGCACAGCGTCTTTTTTTAACTATTCTTTTCGACTAGAGAATTAGTTATTTCGTTGTACATTTCACGTTGTACGTTTTTTGACAGCAGATTTATTATTTATCTTCCTTCTTTATAAAAATATTATAATGACGCTTGTACCCTAGCAAAAACATCATGTAAAGGCTCCTCTTAACGATCGTGTAGAGTAGTTTGAGTATTGCGATGACTAAGCGCAAACCGACTTCATAATGATAACAGCAATAATTTTTGATTCGCGTACAACGTTTTCAAAATATCATCGAAGTAAATTTAATTATATCCTGGGAGCTTTATATCGATCACTTTTTTTACTTTTAGCTCGTAGTAAGAATACATACTTAATATAAAAGTGTATACTTACTTTAATATACACAATTTACTCGACACGAGTCATTTTTTACGCTCGGTTTTCTCGGAAAACAAATTTATAAACTGAAGTCAAGTCATGAATCCTAAATTATTCATTCGGCTTTAAACTGAAATTGGATTTGATAAGTTCATTATTATTGTACGCGTTTCTAAAGTTTATAATACTCATAACAAAGCGACCTGAACGAAATTATAAAATAATCCATTCGCCGTAATAACCGCCGAGCGACAGTATTCTTATTAAGATATAATGAATTTTAATTATGTAGATTCAATGGAACAATTAACTATTATATTATTGGAATATTGAAAACCGAAGAAAACGAGTAGTTGTTATTAATTCTTACTAATGCAAAAGTAATCGAATTAATATGATTTCTCTTTTAATAAAATCTTTAATTCGATTTATTAGTTTCGAAAATTTGATTATTTTGTTTTAATTAGCTTATTATCGCGTTGCAGACTACAACTTCAACAATATTACTTTTATTTGTTATTATTGGAGGACGATAAATAGACGCGAGACAAATAATAATTTCCAAGAGATATTTATTTTCTAACCATTACTTTTAAATAATAATAATGATAATAACAAAAACAATATAATAATAGTTTTATACGAAAAATATATTTATTAACTATCGGAGCTCTAGTCGATCCTCCACTTGTGCTGTCGTTTTCTATGAAAAAATAAGTAATAATAATAAAGTAAACGCTTAATAAATATGTACATATTCTAAAATGTTTCTTGCAATGAAACCTTCCAGCCGATACTTTCAATGAATAAGTAAATCATCAATGAACTTGAAATCGATTTTTATAGCTAGTATGTTTAGGACACCGGTACGGTGTTATTGTGCATTGCTTATAATGATTAAGGATAAATATTAAAAAAAACGTCTTTTTTTCATATTGTTTTAGTTTTAATATTTTTCATTTGTCTCGGTAGATATTCACCAACGGCTTATTACTGTTGGCCGTTTTTGAGTTGTTCACCTCCGTCGTCACGGGGACACTAGCAGATCCTGTTTCGCCGTCTCAAGTGGCGGCAGCCGTCGAAGCGGCCGTTTCTTCGGCTACGACAGCAGAATCGGACGTAAATGCATCGCCCACTCCGGCCACATCACAACAGGTAACAATTGATTTACGCCATCAGAGTATTGTGTCATCTAAGGACGATACGATACTCTGGTGGCGCAAGTTCGTGAACAATTATAATGTTTAGCTTTGAGAGTAATGACGATTGACGTGGTCGTGTAAGCGTATAAAGCTCGGTGGATTACAATGTTGTTGCATTGTAATCTGCCGCCGATACGTCCTTCAGAAAGTCGTTTCCAACAGTTTTCACTTCCACACGACGTTAATGATTACTCACAGTCAATTTTGACAATAACGACCACATCGACGGGTACGGCTAAATAGTGTAGTGGTAGTACGTTTAAGGCGGCGTTAAACGTTACACGGCGCTAGCCACTCTGATTTATATTGTTATTACCTTATTCGTTGTGGAGAAAGAGAGAGACACGGAGCGGCTACAAAGTATAGTGTAAAATGGAAAGCGAAAGCCAAAAAAAAAAAAAACACACACACACACATATATATACGCAAGAAATACCGGTCCCGTGTAAAGAAACCGCGACAAAACACGCTCGTGTGTGCAGAGTGTACGAGTGTAGACCCTCTGGCTACCTAATCTAAACATTCGCTCCGAGTAAATGTGTGAATATATAGCTATAGTGTTCGGGAGATACTGGACCGGTACTACCGGTAGAAACATAAAATACATACACACGTCGGTATGTATATGTTTATACAACAATAATACATACGATATCAATGAGTGCGAGTACGCGTACTAAGGAGTCGTGTGTGTACACGATTTGTAAGTGTACGTGCGGATTTCTAACTCGGTACCCACACTGCGATAGAAAGCGCGAGTGAAACCAAAGTCCCAATCATCCGGACGGGCTATGGCAGTCGTAATTCCCCGATGATCGAAAATAATATAAATAAAAGTAGAACAATTAGAGAAAAAAATATTAAGCGCGAACGAGAGCAGCACTTATGCGTAATCATAATAATATTGCAAAACACATGGGTCATAAATAATAATTTGTTGATAGCTATTAAAACCGAAACAACTCGTTTTCAAATTGCCAAGCCATAATTCATTTTTTTAACGACGTCCACATCTCGATAGTCTAACGAGTACACTTCCGTAGTCTGATCATGAAATAAAAATAAGCCTTGCACGCCCTAAGGCTTAGAGTGTACATAGATTATATTTAGATGTATATAGTTGTTTTCTTGGGAATGGTATCGCGTATACGCGATTTGTACGAGTTGAAATTATTAATTATTATAGATTTATAAAAAAATATGTTTAAAACCATAATTTTAATTCGAACGTTTTTAATTGAAATTGAACTTTTTGAACAGGAAAGTGACGCTAAACAGCAATTGTTATTGGCACCTTTGGTGTTGACTCAAAACGGAGAAATGTTGCCTTTGAGAAGCGATTCGGATTCTCCACGGGATGACGTTCCACTACAGGATACGGCGAGCCTAACTTCTCGGCCGCCACCGGTAACCCCGCGGGGGCCGGCTGTAATAGTCGAGATAATAGCATCGCCAAGCACCTCCGAACAGCACATCGAAATTATGGCTAGCGACTCTCAATTTCAACCTCAAAACTATTTGAGCGATACGTCGAATTATTTGTACTATCCCGTTCAACAAGATCAACAGCAGCCAGTAAATTTAGTCAACCCGACTCCGACGGAACAGGTGGACAATAAGCAAAATGTCCAACAACAGCAACAGCCAGGTAGTGTGATAGACGATCGGATAAACTCGACACCGTCTCATCCAGAGCAACCGTTATCGCTACAACAATACCATTATCATAACAGTAACGAAAACAATCAAAGTGTCGTCAATGCGGAAATACAAACGCAGCAAGTTCAATCGGCAGCTCAAGGGCAGTTACAGTTGATGTTACAACGAGAGCAATTGCCGTTTCCACAACAATCACAGACACAACCCCAGCAATATCAACAAGTTGAGATTCAACAACAATTAGAAGTGCAGCAACAACAATCCCAGCAGCAACAACAACCCCAGCAATACCAACAAGTTCCGATTGAACAACAATTAGGAGTGCAGCAACAGCAATCCCAGCAACCTCAACACATCCAACCTCAGCAATCGGCTCAACAAAGTAATTACTACAATCAATACGGTAACCAACAACAACAGAGTATGCTTATGGCGGCTTCAACTGCAGTGCACCCCCAGTACTACAAGTATTACCCGCAACACAATATCGGTTTCCGTAATAACCCGTCGTCGCCTAGCGATTACCGGACTGTGTACAGGAAACGCAAAACCAGGCAGTATTCTCAACATTCGCCGCCCAAAGACAGTTATGCCGAAGGAACGGTTCAGTCGGATAACTCGATTGGCCACGAAGAGGTGAATCGCGAAGGTAACATTTTGCCCAAACACCATACGCTGCCTCCGTTTCGGCCTAGTCACCCGTTATGGGCATCCCAATATCCGGTGCCGTGGCTGTACTATGTAAAGTCCACGTTAGAAATACCCAAATCCGTCACACAGCAGCAACAACTTCCGCTGCAGTATCCATACAGAAACGTCTTGATACCGCATAACAGAAAATCCAGAGCGTATCAGTCCAAAAGATCTCGGTACAGTCCCAACAGCCCGTCCACCCGCAGAGACGCCACCATTCCGGACCCGACCAAAAAAGTAGTTTATATCGAATACGGTGGTTTTAAACCCAAGATGGTTCCTTCGGTCGAAGTTCGGTTGTTTGAAAACGGCGGCGAGGAGATGGCTTACGAGAACGCCCAACCCGCAGTGATCGGAGATTCTCAGGAAGCTTACGACAGCAGCGTCAAGTTCGCCGTCCAAAGTCATGACCAAACGTCTACTGGCGGTCCGAGCTCTCTCTCGTCCCTAGTGACTGAAGCTAACGGTAACGCAGTTAAAGAGAATTCGGTGACCACGGTATTATCCACCACGGCGGTCACGGAGATCGAAAAAATATCCAACACCACAACCAGCAGCAGTACTATTTTATATAGTAACAACTCAAAAATCAATGGCACTGCTACAACTCCAAACACGTTGACATCGACACAGTCTTTGGTAATTGTCGTTTAACTTCATGAAAAATTATTTGATTTATTTTGGTGTCATCAAAGTAGACTTAAATATTTTCAAATCGATGCAAAACTTTTACATTGAATCAATCGTGCCAAATAATTTATTGCTTATGACCGACTCGTATTTATGAAAAAATATCGATTTTCAAGTAAAATCAAAAACAAATTTACTTTGATTATATAACTATAAGTCGGTATTAAATTAATTTATTATTGTAAATTATTGTTAATCTATTATTACATTTATGATTTAAAACTAAGAGTATATTTGTAAGAACCGTACAAATATCAATTATACTTGAGAATTACTATAAAGTGATTAAATACTACTTACTATGTTATATTTGTAAATTTATGGGTACTAATATTATAAATTTAAATTGTAATTTATGGATTAAAATAAAATATTATGCCTGTTGGTCTAAGAAATAGATCTAAAAAAAAACAAAGAAAAATAAATTTTAATTCTAATAACTTTTAATGAATTTTATTTGGGTATAATTTCCTTCTCTTTTCCAATTACTTCCTAATTAAGAAAGTAATTGTTAATTTATTTATTAAATCGTTGATAATCTTTGTTTTAAATGAAAGTATTTTTATCGTATAGGTAATAATATTGTAAATATTTAAAAATACATACATGAATATTAATTTTAATGCTGCCTTTTCGGTTTGTATAGATATTTCTACAGATTACTTTTGAGAAAACCCTATTTATTTATAAAAGGAGTTTAGTCCAACTCTTTTTAATAAAAATAATTTGCGGCTATTGCCGTATCGCCGCTTACTTTTGAAAAATGTCAAATTGTATGTTATAATAAGTTTTACATAAAAAAAAAACAAGTCTTCTCCTTCTTCGCCTTAATCCCAACTACTTGGGGTCGGTCACCCTTATCCTAAACTTCCACTTGACACGATCTCCTACATCCTCTACGCTCACATCAGTTTTCCTCATATCGCATTCAATAACATCTTTTCTAGTCACTCCAATCATCCATCTAAGCATTCTCATCTCTGCTACACTCATTTTCTGCTCTACTTTCTTATCAACCGCCCAACACTCTGAACCATACATCATAGCTGGTCTCACTACAGTCTTGTAGAATTTAAATAAAAAAAAAACATGCATATAATTCTTCTCCCTTGTCTCACCCAACCTATCGGGGTGTCGGCCATTCTGATCCTTAATTCCCACTCGACACACGATCTCCTACATTATCTATACACATACCAGCAGTCCTCATATTACTCCCGATTATATCCAACCACCTGTTTCTAGGTCTTCCTCTTCTCCTTCAACATTCTTATCCATAACCGTTCCAATAGCTTCCCATTTCTGTTTTTCCTCGTAAAACGATCTAAGCCTATTTTCTTTCATTTTATCCAAGATCAACGCTACTCCTATGTTTTCTCTTACACGTTCATTGCTATTCCCCTCTTTTTTTGTCAATTCACTCATCCATCCAAGTATACTCATCTCTGCTCTACTTTCTTGACGAATGCTATTGGGCAATGACGACCCATACATCATATATTTGGTCTCGCTACAGTTTCATAGAATTTCAGCTTCATCTGGATTATATTATTGCACAAAACACCCAGATGATTTTCTCCACTCGATCCATCTGCATTTAATTCTACGTCTCGAATCCTCGTCGTTCTTTTGTACAAACTGTCCTAAATATTTAAAACCATCTAACCCAACCATCACATCCTCGTTAGTTGTCATTACTCTTCTTATTTTTTCTTTATTATCATTTCCTCGCGTTCTCTTTCGTCTAACTCGTTCTCTCCGTGTAGTCCGTCTTCTACTAATCCCCAGTATACCTTTCTTTTAAGGGCTAATTTTCACATCTCGACCATTTAGTCTACTTCATTCTTGTTTTCTCCAATTAACACACTATATCATCAAAAAACAATAAGTACTACGATACCTCTCCTCTTCTCCAACTAAAAACTAGACGGTAAATCAATTAAATAATAATTTCAACGATAAAATACAAATTATTTGAGATTTTATACGATAAATATATTATATAAAATATGTAACATAAATTAAGTTTTAAGTAAATTATCTAAGGAATAAGTTAAAACATCGCGGTGTCCATGCGTTTAGAGTAAGTAAAACTAATTAAGAGACAATAAACGAATTTCCATTGGAAATTTAAACAATTAAGATTGTAATTCTATTATTGTCGTTTAAACTTATATCTCGATAATACATTGAAGAATTTCGGTTATTATAATCGGTAAATTTTAATAACAAAGTTTCAATAACTTCGACCAAACAATGTAAACGCTACGGCTGGTTGGCCACACTGAGGATGTATGCATTTGGTATTGGGATTTATTTTATTTTCTGGTTCTTCTGGTTGTTGATATGGTATGCACAAACTTTTAGCCCCCATAGTGGCTGTACTTTGCTCTTGAGAATTTTCCGTAGTCTGTTCTTCAGTGGTATCACGAGTACTATCCTTTTTAATGCTATCTTCACAAGACGGGCGGCCACAGAATGGAACTAAAAGAATATGTTTGCTGTCTAACAAGGGACAGAATTTCGACCAGTCTTTGCAAATAACTTTCTTGGTATTTAATTCTGCCTTAGCTTTTTCAAACATTGAGGTTTGAATAGCATTTAAAATATCTCGAACCTTGCTTTGGAAGGATTGATCTAAAGTAGCTCCTTTTCCTAGAGAAATTTCTATTTTCTCGCTGTTATCTCTGCGAATAGCCATTACACGGCCAGCTTCCATGTCTTTAGGACCAATTTCAATTCTAAGAGGAACTCCCTATAAGTAATTAAAATAAAATTTAGTTCATAAGAAAAAGAAAAGTCAATTTAAGCATACCTTTAATTCCCAATGGTTAAATTTCCATCCAGGTGAATAATTATCTCTGAAATCAGTTTCAGCTCGTATACTTTTTGGAGAATATACATCTTCTTCTTCGCCAATAAGTACATTTTTAACTTTTTCACATAAACTGTAAAGATTATTTTTAATGTTCAATTCTGTACTAACTCCAACTCCACACGGCACTATGATGACCTGTAACAAACAATTAATTTTAGATTGCAAAGCTATAATAATTTGACGTGCTTTGAATTACTTGAATGGTAGAGACTTTAGGAGGTAGGCAAAGGCCACGGTCGTCACCGTGTACCATAACCATAACACCAATAGAACGCGTTGTCAAACCATATGAAATTTGATGAACAAATTCAATTTGATGAGTATCTGGATGTTCGTATTGTACATCGAACATACGTGCAAAATTAGTTCCCAAATAATGAGAGGTAGCTGCTTGAATTCCTCGTCCACTCGCAGGAACATAAGCCTCGACAGTGGTTGTAAAATCACCTCCGGCAAACTTTTCTTTTTCAGTTTTCCTACCGGGTACTACAGGAACAGCAAGTAAATCTTCATACACTTGTCTATAGAAATCTAGGAAACAATTCAATAGGAAGTTAATCGGTGTATTTATATTTGAATCAAAACTCACAATTGACCATCACAACATTTTTGAATCTCAAAAAATCTGAACAGAGTTTACCAATCGACAAAAAAAAAAAAGAATGTTATATATGTTTTTAAGAAGTCATCTAAAATATTTATGTAACATTTTTTTTTTTAATGATAAATTCATTTATTTTAATTCTTTGCAATCTTTGAAAATTGATGTGATGGTATTTGTAAGATTTGATTCAAGTCTTCTCAGATTATTTATGCTGGGGGTATGATTTCATCAACTCTCCTATTATATAGAGTGCTCCAAGAAGTTTTGATAAATCGCTAAAAGAAAAGTATATTTAACAATAATAATATATTTATTATAAGTAAAACCAATAAAAAATTCCAAGCAAAATTGTTGAATTTTTAATATTTTTTACGTATTTCAAAAATTTATAAAAACAACAATATTCAAACTTATATTAAACAATTTACATATTATTTCAGTTGAGTGTTATTAAAATTAAAATATTTATTACAGTAAACTAACATAATAATTATTTCCTAACATTTTAAAAATATCTTCTTTTTCCTCGCCTTAATCCCAACTATTTGGGGTAGGCCATGACTCTTTAAAAATATATGTATTATATTTACCTAAAACCTTATGAACATCTCGTTCTGCCTCATCTCGGGTTGCATATGCATGATGACCTTCTTGCCATAAAAATTCTCGCGTCCTCAAAAACGGTTGAGGATGTTTAAACTCCCAACGCTAAAATTAATAATATTACCCAATAATTTTAATACCAAAATCCAAATTCTCAAGGTAATTTTGTAAAGTATGGTATTACTTGTACACTGATCGTATAAAGAGACTGATTATTAAGTATAAGTTTCAAAAAGAAAATCAATAACAACCAAATAATCTCGATTAACTTTCTTTGTCATTTATTAGATGACACAAGAATATAAATACATTTAGTTATTAGTAATAAATACTTTAGTTTAAACAGCCAGATTATTGAAAATTGGATTATACGCAATACTCTAGTACGTGTAATCAAATGTCGTGCAACAATTTTTTGCAAAATACAACAATCCAGCTGTTTGTCATTAATTGTTATTTATTTGATAGGTCTACTACTAGTTTTTTTATTATAAAAGTTTATAAAACATTTAAGGACCAACGTGTTTGATATGTCGATGAAACAAAATATATTGTGACAGTACACATACTGCAAATTTCTAATACTGATCTATATAAGTACTTGTACAATTAAATTGAACTTTGGCGACATAGTACAGATGCATTAGGAGCCAATTTTAATGAATATTACATAAAAATAATTTTTTTAGTAAATATATACTTTTTTTTAACGAGTCTCGATATTTTTTTAATAGACAAAACATCATCGAAAAATATATCAATGGAATAATGTTAATTTTACTTACAACTACATTGTTCCACTGATTAAGCATAAGAGGTAGATCTCTGTAAGATTTAATCCACTTGGAAAAGGCTGGATACATGACGGTTTCGCTAGTAGGTCTTATTGCAATATGTTCTTGTAACTCCGTATCTCCAGATTTTGTAACCCATGCAACCTTTTAGAATAAATGATATGAAAATTAAAAAAATTTTCAAAACTTATTAGCGTACATGGTTAGAGAATGAAATAAATATAAGATACATTATAAAATCACTAATACAATCATAAGATATCATTCAATGCAATAAATTTTCTCTATAATAAAAAAATTTTTAAAAATGAAAAAATTTTTTGTTTAACTATTATTAAATTATAACATGTATGAAGAAGAAAACGATTAAGAAAAGTATAAAGTCAGTTCAAAAACTACCTCAGTACTGCAATAAAATATTACGATCAATTTTTCATTTTTAAAATAAAATAAAAAACTTAAGTGCTAAACATTTGAGTTATTTTTAATTATTTGTTTAATTTAATTACTATTATACAGTCATAAAATTGATGTATTTGTATTAATTATTTGTATTTTGTTCATATTTGTTATTAATCTCAAATTAATAACAAATCAAATTTTTGTTTTATATAGTATATTGTGCATCTTATATCACATATAAATTCTTATGCATTATTAATTGATAACTTGCCTCTGGAGCAAAATCTTCAATATGAGCTTTTTCTTTTTCTAAAACAGTTTTTGACACGAATATTGGAAAGTAACAGTTTTGAACCCCTAATTTTTTTTTTATTGTAATATCAAACCATTGTTGAATATGTTCCCAAATTCCATAAGCCCAAGGTCTCAATACATAACAACCACTAACGTCATAGTATTCTATCATTTCTCCTTTAGTTAATACTTGAGAATACCAGTCAGGTAAGTTCTCTAATTTTTTTGCTTCCAATCCTAACCGAGTAACTTTTTTTACTCCAGATTCTTTAGGAGTTGCAGGTGCTGGTGCAGGATCAGGTTTCTTTTTTTTTTCTGTTTTTTTTTGTACAGATGGTGTAGGGGTTGGTTGATTTTTTTGAGAATCAGCTTGGTATTCTTTTCCAGTAACTTGTTTATACTCAGTTTTTAATGCTAATAACTCTTTAACAGCTTCTGAAACTGCATCTTTACTGGCTCCTGATGACTTCAATTGCCTTACTTTATCTCCTTGTTCAGTTACACGAGAATGAAGCTGTGATTCTTGATTAGAATCATTACTTTGTGAAACTGGAGCAGATTTGTTTTGAGAAGTAGTAGGAGTTGGCTGATAATCTTTTCCTGTGGCTTGTTTATATTCAGTTTTTAGTGCTAACAGTACCTTGACGGCTTCTGAAACTGCATCTTTACTGGCTCCTGATGATTTCAATTGCCTTACTATATCTCCTTGTTCAGTCACACGAGAATGAAGCTGTGATTCTTGATTGGAACAAATACTAGAAGATGAGGTTACTTGATTTTCCATTGTAGCTGGTTTACTAATTCCTGTAGGTGCTGGTTTTGTATGTCCATCGGGTACTGAGAATAATATTATGGGAGATTCTTTACCAGTGTGAATGCTGAAAAATCAAAAAATAATACTGTATTAACTGTGTAAAAATTTTACAGTAAAACAAAAGTACATTGGGTTGTTTTACATTTGATACCATAGGAAAATTGTAAAAAAAAATCAAAATTTAACAAACTTCAAAATACACACTGTAAAACGTAACTACTGAATTAAAATAAAAGTTTTTGGTATCCAAATTTTTCTTTAAAACTTATCTAAAAATAACTATCTACAAATCTTATAAAATATTTTAATAAAAAAATTAATTTTTAAAATACTTTTTGTATTTGCGAAAAATAACATAAAACATATTTTAAATATGTTTAAAAATTTATTAAAAAAAAAAAGTATAAAATGTTATGTGGATCACAAGTTATATGAATTGTCAGTTAGATCTGTTCCACTCTGTATATCTTAATTTCAAAAAATCTTATTTTATTAGCAATACAAATTATTCAAATTTATTAATTAATCAATTTATATGTTAAAAGTTAATATATTATACTTGTTTAATTATGAACGATTTTAGATAATAATATTTGGTAATTTTTTTTTTAGATTTATACAATAACAAATACTTTAATTTTTATTTCAAACCTTAAGGGTTGATAGGGAGAATCGCATATGAAGTATCCAGGGCGACGTTGTAGTTGTATGACATCACCTTTTTTCACATTTCGTAACTCTGGATCACCTAACATGGGAACTTCCCAGCGTGTCTTACAAGTGGATTGATTTAAATCACTCACATATTGTTTAAAATCTTCATCTTTACCTAACACAGGCTTGCTTATCAAGTGTTCAAAATATACACAATAACATGAAATTAATTCTGGTAAATTAGGATATGAAATAGACAATAGATTATCAAATTTATGTAGCCATGTGATTTTGGTAGTTTTTTTATAATCAGTATCTTCTAACACAGTTTTTATTCTAATAGATAGAATTTTTCCATTATTATCTCTAAAAAAAAAATCAAGTTACAATGTATCACAGTTTACCAAAAAAATATTAATTTTAATGAAAATAAAATAAAACATTAAAGTTTTACCTTTCAAATTTTGTTACTATAACATTTCCCCAATTAATAAATGTGACTTTTACTCCTTCCCCACTATTTAGTAAGCATTCAGCATCTGCATAATCTATTAACAAAGTTGGAGTAACCCAAACGTCCTTTGTACCTAAATCAGGATTTTTTGGATGTCTTGCAACATTATTGATAACATATGGTTCTTTAATATTCTCTACATGTACAGGTACATAGTTATTTGATTCTATTGTAGTATGCCGTGGAGCAATAGGATCTACAATACGTTTATTAATTGACCAAATTTTATCCCATTCCATTGTTACAACTGTACGAGATGAACCTTGAGCAATTATAAATTGACGAAGTGCTTCTACTTGCATTCCTCGCCTCAAAACACCTCTTACAGTGGGCATTCTAGGATCATCCCTAAAAAAATATTGATTATTATATACTTTTAGTGAAAAATAAAGTTTATAAGAAATCAATTAAGAAAGGATGTATAAAAAGTGATTTTTTTAATAACACATTTATAGGTACTTATAAGCATTTATGTCATTATGAAAAATAAATAGTTTTATATTAAATACACACAATTTCCCAATAGTTCATATTTTCTTCATGATAAATATTTTAAGCCTTACCAGCCATCAACAAAGCCTTCATCAACAAACCAAGTTAATTTTCGTTTAGATAAAACAGTATTTGTCATATTTAATCTACTGTAAGACCAAACATATGGACGGGGTTGTAACTGTAAAGCATCACAAAACCAATAATATTGTTGATCTCTATCGGCATATTCTGTTGTGCGTAAAGCATGTGTTACACCTTCTAAACTATCCACTATTGGACAAGCAAAATCATAAGTTGGATAGACTCTGTAAAAAAATAAAAATAATAAATAATGAATTTTATTGTATAGTTATAAAAACAATTTTAGTATATAAACTAATTCAATTATTAATATTTTCCAAAAAAATAAAATGAGACTAATTTCAATAATCCAGTTTTTTGAAAATTTTTATAACAAGTATAAAAAATTCACAAAAAAATGTATTATTTTAAGATAAATGAAGTGGCTATTGTTAAAAGAATCATCTTTAATAATATGCAAATAAAATAATGTAAACAAAATAAATCAGTCATTCAAAAATTAGACAAAAAAAAATGTGGATAACAATAAAATTATTGAATTGAATTAAACATTTGTATTATTATTATTAACATAATTAAACTAGAGTAATTTTTACTTGTATTTATTTCCAGTACGTGGATGAGTTTCCGGTTTACAACGATATATGGCTGGATCACGCATACAACCATTATCTAATGACATATCAATTTTAGCTCTCACACAACATTTAAGTCCAATACATGTCCCATTTTTCATTTCATTCCAAAGCTTTAAATTTTTTTCAACAGCTATGAAATATTATTTTAAAAATTACTTTAAAATAAAAATAAAATAAATTCAAATTATATTTTATAGTACAATTTTTCCGGTTTTTAGATTCAATACGTTTTTCACGTTCTTGTTTCATAGTTTCACCATCAGTATCATCAACATATGCCAAACCTTTATTGATCATGTTTTCACATAAACTAAGCATTTTATCAAAATAATTAGAAGTATATGAAAACATATCAGGTTTAATTTCAAGCATCTTAACATCTTCTAGTATTACCTACAAAAATTAAAACAAAATATATTAAATTTAATTCATAGAAAAAGTTGATTTGCCTTAAACATAATAAAGTTGTACTAAGCTGAAACAAAAAAACCAATTTCAAAAATTGATAAATTAGGTAAAATATATTTTATTAATAAGTTATAATAATAAAATATTTACTTTTATTTTTTAATTTATATTTAATTAATTATAAAATAAATAAGTGCTCAACATTTTATAAATAAAAATTGAATGTATTCATTAGTGGAAAATTGAAATTTTTTTTCTAATCATAATTATTTTCATCAAAGTTAAATTTAAATGTCAATAAAAATATTTAATAAAAATTTTGGATAAGGTAAAAAAATAGATGAATAAATAAATACTTAAGACCAGCTATAAATTGATACTTCAAAAGTAATTACTTTTTCATAATCTTCTTTTTCCTTAGCTGGATTAGTATCATCAAATCTCATTATTAAACGTCCTTTAAATTGTTCTTGATAATATTGATTAAGAAGAGCTGCTTTTGCGTGACCAATGTGTAAATAACTTAAAAAAATATAAATTTTAAAATTTATTACATTAAAAAAATATATATATTTTTTTACTAACCCACTTGCCTCAGGTGGAAACCTAACAACAACTTTTCCCATTTCTGCACCTGGAAGTTCAACAAACTTTCCCTGTTCTTTAGAGTCAGAACTTGGTTTTTTTGATTCAACATTTTTTATATCAGTGTTTTTAAAATATGGTAAAGAAGAAATAAATTGTGACCATTTTTGAATATGAGAAAACTTTTTTGAAAAATTCACTGTTTTTCTATTTGATTTTTCAAGCCAACAAAAGACAAATATGTCTGCTATTGTTAAACCTAAACCAACTAAATATTTTGAAGTTGATGCTGTCAAGCTTTTCTCTAGGTGCTCAAGTTTAACATTTTGATCTTTTTCTCCACTTTCAGCCGCAAAACTTAGCCAACTATCAACTAACAATTGTTCTTCTATGTCTTTGCCATAAAGATTATGAGAAATATTTTTACCATTCTTAATAGAACTTTGATCACTTGAGATTAGTCTGGCAATAAATCTTGTTAGATCTACATCAGTATAATTATTTGGTACTGGCACTCCATTCAAAGAAACTGTAGATGGTGTTTCTTTAATTTCAATGGATGCTATCTTAGCAACAATATGAGAAGCAGCTGTAGAAAAATAACAATCTAATTTGAGTACAAACAATATAAACACAAAAAATGAAATAAACAAAATAAGACAATAATACTATACTTTTATTTAAAAAAAAAGTTATTGTTTTGTCTAAGCAAAACATAGCCAGTTAAACCAATGGGCATAATAAGAAAAATAGGTTTAACCATGTTTACTATTTATAATATAAAAACTATAACACACAATTTTTTTTTCATGTGGTAAGTTAGAACTGTAAATAATAAAACTACATCATCATTTTATTTGATATTCCAAAAGTTACAGATATTTTCATTGAATTTACAAAACAATATATATTTTAATTTTGAAAAAAAAAAAAATTTTTTGTAAAAATTAAAACTCAAGAAAATACTTTAAATGTGTAATATCATATAAATTTTTTATATTTAATTCATTTAATATCAATAATTTCAACAATACTATAATAAAGTAGAAATTTTTTTCTACAGAAAGCCTCTGAGAGTTACTAAATTTTAAGATACTTAATATTGAATTTGTTTAGTTAAATAAATAATAGTACTATCCTGAATTTATTGCAAAGAAAGTTGAAACATTAAATTGTTTCTTACCAAAAGACCAAATATTTAATATTTCATTGCAGTTTAATTGTATATTAAAAAAAAAAAATAATGATTATTTAACAATAATTTTAGATACCCATTTTTCACTGAATGAAATATTAAAGTTTTACAAATCTTAATTTAAAATGTTCATAGGAAAACATTTTTTAATGTTATTTTAATTAAAAATTTAAAAGGTTAAAAATATCTATACTTCATACTGACTAGTAATTTTTTTTAATGTAATAAATTTATGTAAATTAGAAATCTTTTTTCTTAAAAAAAAAAAATGTCTAATAGATTTAAATATTTAACTTAATAGAAGTTTGTTTTATCTGCTTTTACACTTAATTCATAATACTATTAGGCAATTTACTTACTTAAAAGTCGATTTTTATCAGCCATTGAATTATTTGTGAAGCAGTAACTTGAAAAATATGAATTATTCTAAATTGAATGTGCTAAAGGCGGTAAACGATACCAATGAAAAATTAAATACACGTGTCAGTTTCTGTTGTTGTTACTTTCACGATACGTAGAAATTTTCCGTAGTCAGCGAATAGTAGTTTTAGGCTATTGGTTGACGCCGTGCATGAGTCTTAACAATACTTCACTCCAGTTGCACTTTCTATAGCTACACGTTGGTCGGTTAATTATAGAAAGCTATCGGTACAGAAGATATTTTGTAGACTGTTATCAACCGCGGCAGTAGAATAATGTGATAAACCAACGAGTCGTCATGTGCACGTTGATATTATATTTTAAATGATAAGTCATATATTGGGAAGACCGCGGTAGAAAATACAACCATATCAATCTACCAACACAACGAACCTAATATATATTTACCATAAACACTAATAATATCGTTTATTAGAAATAATTATAATTATTCACAATACTACTGCAATTAAAAATATAAATACAGGTTTTCTTTCTAAGAAAAATTCATTATGATATTACGATATGACCTCATCATAGTTCGATCACACACTTCTGCACCTGGGTATATATCATTGGGTAATGTTATTTTATGGTATGATTGTACACTGTTTTGAAAGCATAGTTATCAAATGTTGCATTAGTAACCACGATTGTTAACAAAAATTCAACCTCCTGGGGAAGCTAATCGTAACTGATTTAAGTGCCGACTATAATTAACGTATTGTAGGACCAGCAAAAATACCATTCACTACCATCTTAAACTGTATCACAGATATTTGTGAAATTTACTAATTTAGATAAATACATTGTAAGATTTCCATTTTCTAAATGAATTAGCATTTCATTGTCATAATTGTTTAAAAATTTTTAATATATACCTTTTTTTTTTTTTTGTATATAGTATTCTGTCATGGATCGAATACTTGAAATCTCGTCAGTTTTTGTGGATCTATTTAATTCTATTGCTGGAGCAGCAAACCCAATTACAGAAATTAGTATCAAAGAGGGAAATAATAGTAATCTAGATGATGATTCTGTAGAAATCCCATCCCATTTGCGTGAAACCACTGAAGATTATATTCAAAAAATGTTAACTGCATGTAATGCCAGTTCAGGAGCACAATCATCTGGATCCCAGCAAGGAATACGTGTTAATGAATTTAAACCTAGTAATAACACAATGTTTTTTTTTCTATTAAGATGTTTAATTAATAGATTTTTACTAAAATCTATAAGATTGAAAATAAATAAAGGGCTTAGTGAGAAACAGATAGAAGAGTATTTTTTTTATTTTAATTAATCAGGAGAAGTAATTTTATCAACATTTTTTTACTAAAATCAATGGTATAATATATTTTTCTAAATTAATTATCTCCATTAATAATAGGAATATAAAACTTGTTTTTATACTTTATTACATAAAATAATCATTTATTTAAAATAAACAAAAAAAAATTTTTTTTTTTTAAAGTTGGATTTATCTGGGAGTTGCAGCAAGTCCCTCAAATTGTTTCTTAAGTATTAAAAAATAGTTACATAAACTTTATTAGATTAATGTAATCTCAGTTAATGTTGACATACAATATGATCATTAAAATATCATTTTAAGAATTTATTATAAAAAATCAAAGAGTTGAAAAAAATGCGCTAACCTTTTCATATATTTTTTATTTATCTATGTATCATATTTCTTAATTTATATTATAATTTATAAAGCAGTTTAAAGTAGACTAAATTTAAAACACAATAAAGTAGCATAATATATTCTATTTACTTTAAATTTTACTAATTGCTTCTCTATTATACCATAGTAGTAATGTTACATATATATACATACAAAATAATTTTCATTACTCTCACCTAAAAAATAATTTTTCCTTGTTAAAATATTTTCCTATTAATTTGTTTCTATTTTTAAATAAAATAAAAAAATAGCTTATTAATTTTATGACAAATTAAGTTTTTGTTGTTATTTTTTTAGGAAGATATTTAAGTTAATATTTGAGGGTACATAGTGATTCTTTTAATATTGGCCACACAATTTTTCTTAAAATAATAAGTTATTCTTTAGATTTTATTAATTACATGTGTATCTCCATTTATCAGTAATAAAATATTTTTTATGTTTATCCCTTATATATTATAGAAGTTTCAACTTAATTTTTTTAAAAGACATCATACATATTTAGCTATCTTATAAGATAGAAAATGACTGGTCGTTAAAAACTTTTGACCAGTGCTTAATAAGATAATCACAAATTTGCACCTAGGTGGAAGAAGGAGAGCGGGCAATAAATAATTAATAATAAAAATAGCAAAATCCTCGCTTTACCCCTAGTCTGGATTTTAAAATTCTAATAACTTTTAAAGTATTAGACCAAAAGTTGTCATCAATCACTCATTTTTTATTTTATAAGCCACTTAAATATGTATGATGTCATTTAAAATAATAAAATTGAAATTTTTATGATACATAAAGGATGAACATAAATATTTGATTACTGATAAATGGAGATATATATGTAACAATAACAAAAAGATAATTCACAAAAAATGTATTATTTTAAAAGAAATCGAGTGACTATTAAAAGAATATCTGTATACAGTATTAATTAGTTGTATACAGTGTATGTAGTGTTTTATTTGATACTAAGTTTTATGTAATAGATCTTGACTGGCTTAATTGTGAAGGTCCCTTACTATTTCAAAAACATTTACGTGGAAAATTGGTACTACTGCACTTTTGGACTTATTGTTGTGTTAATTGCCAACATATGATTCCAATACTAGAAAAATTAGAAAAGAAATTTACCATTGAGCAAGGACTTGTTATTGTAAGTACTTTGTATTCTTATGTATATGCATTATTTTTATAAATCTATCACAGTAAGAAAATACATTGAGGGTTCTATTTTCTTTTTCTTCCTTTTAAAAATATTTTTAAATAAAATTCAGAAGATTTATATAAATTTTTGTGATTTTATATTTTTAAACTAGATGGGCTTGATGTTAATTCTATACCTATGGTCTATATACAGGGTGTTCAGTAAGTCATTGTTTGTAACAATGAGAACAATAGAAACCCGTTTCCTGACTTACTGAACACCCTGTATATATAAACAATAGTCAATTATAATTAATAATCATTATCATATGCATTTTTATAATTTTTATCTAATAGATTTTTTGAAATTCACAGATAAGTGTTCATAGTGCAAAATTTACTCAAGAACTTCTTAGTGGAAATATACAACATGCTGTTAAAAAATATGGAATTAAACATCCTGTAGTAAATGATACAGAATCAACTATGTGGAACGATCTTGCATGTTGTTGTTGGCCAACATGTATTTTAGTGGGGCCCTTAGGTGAACCGATGTTGGTTGTGCAAGGAGAACAATTTCATAGCAAACTATTACAAACTTTTATTTCTTCTTCACTTGAAATTTTAAAAGCTGCAGATCTTATAAGTAACCATAGAATAAAAGAATTACAAGTTGGGTCTCAATATTCGGGCAATGGTGGCAAAAGCACAGTTTTGCCAACTATCTTAAGCCCTTTTCTTTATCCGGGAAAAGTCACTGCTACTGTTTGTCAAAAAAATAGTGGTAATAGAAATCAAGGAAATTCGGAAATACTAATGGCCATTTCTGATAGTGGACATCACCGAATTATTGTGTGCAATATTCGTGGACATGTGAAGGTAGAACTTGAAACATTTCAAACTATTGTATTTTATTATTGTTTATAATAATTTTACAATAATTTATAGCATGTTATTGGTGGAGGTCATAATCCAAATAAACCATCAGCTGAAAATCATGGTTTTCAAGATGGAGGCTTTAGAGAAGTCTTATTTAAAAATCCACAAGGGCTTTGTTTTGGAGAGAACCAAAACATTTTATATGTTGCAGATACTGATAATCATGCTATTAGAGCTGTAATGTATTTTTTTATTTACTTTTATAAAATAAATTAATTTATAAAGAATTGTTAAGATTTTTTTCTTTTAGATCGATTTGAAATTGAAAACTGTCAAAACAATAGCAGGGAATGGACGAATGCTTTTGCCAGCTAGCACTGATTTTAAATCTTCAGCTGCTAGTAGTAATCCAAACTCAGGACTATGTCCTTTTGGAGGTGCAATGTGGACTCAACAATGTTTAAACACCCCTTGGGATGTGTTGTATGTTGACCGATTACGAGCAATTATTATTGCTATGGCCGGTACACATCAATTATGGGCATTATTTCTTGATAAAACCACTCAAGGAACTAATAAATCAAAGTATGCAAAATTTGTTTAATCATTTTGAATTTTTGTCAGGTCTTGAGTATATATTATATTAATATTTGTATATTTATGAATATATAGTATTCATAAATATGTAAATAAAATATGTATGTCTAATTTTTGATGCACAAAGAAAAAACTAAAACAATAAAAAAATTAACAACAGTTTTTAATTAAATGTAAATGTAAATAGGGGTGAAAAAGAGTATTAAAGACCAGATAAAGAAGAAATGTAAATGGGTAGGGTTTCAGAATTCATTTGTATTAATATAATATCTAATTAAAAAATAACAACTTTATGTTAAAACATAGTTATTAAAAAATGAATTCTATAATTAATTAATATGTATATCATAATAATAATTATTTATAAGAAAAAATTTTCATCAAAGTGTTATGTGTTGTTCTTTATCAGCTAATTAAATTTTTATGTTTATAGCTGTGTTAAATAGAGTTGTTCAGTATCATATTATGACATAGTCTATTATCACTAAAAAAAAAATTATACTTTGGCATTATTCAGTACGTGGTATAACCTCATTATACAAAATTTATTTACTATCATTAATAATAACCTAAATACGCATGTTAAAAAGAAATTGATTAGTATGATAATTATTATTGAATGGCTATTATATGATTTTATAACCTTAACTGTTTTGTTCTTCGTATTTCTGAACAAGTTCTCTGTTAAAGTGAATTTTTTTAATAGAAAATTTAAGTTTCATTTTTTTTTTCCACTTCTAATACTAAACTGAAATGGGCATATCCCAAATTAATGTAAGATTGATTTAAATGCAACTGTTGATGTATTTTCAGACATTTTACATTCCCTGTATTCTTATCTTTGTTTTTACTTGGCCAGCTTCATTATGCTTTGTTTCAATATTTGAAACTGAAACTTGTTGTCTTAACTTGCCGCTGATTCAACTTATCAATAACTTTCAGTTTAGGAGACATAGTTGATTTAGTGGTTAAATATAAATAAATATATTTTCTTTTAAGATTTAACTCAATAAAATAAAATTTAGCTAGTAGTTTTCATCTGACTTACAAATTTATGTACAGATGTTTTTTTTATTTAATACCCATCCAAACCTTTATTAAAAAGCTTTAATTCTATTAAAAGTGTCAAAATGACATAGAAGCATAAGTACACGTGTGGCAGCTTAACAGGCAATTTTGAAGTTGCTGTTAAAAATCAATGAACGCTCAAAAAAAACTATTCATACCATTGTAATCTATATAAAAAGTATTAAATTAATAATATAAAAATAATATATTTTGAAAACAACATTGCCAAGGTGATGTGTTTTTTCATCAGGTATTTATGAAGACATTTATAAAAATTGTTCAGCACGTCCCACAATATTTGCTGAAGAATTCCGGCAACCTCTTAAGAAACTTGTTCTTTAAGTGCATTAAGTGTAGATGGTCGGTGCTCATAGACATTTTTCTGAAGGTAGCCTCATGAAAAATAATCTTAGGTTGTCAAATCAGTGGAGAAGGCCATGAAGTTGCTCCATTCCAAGAGATTATTCGGCCTAGGAAAACTTCATTAAGAAGATGGATTATAGCCTGGTTTTGCTGGAACAAAGTTTCATTGTTCAGGTCATACTGAAGAAAGAAAAATGTGCTTAACATTTTAGAATACTGCTCGGCATAAACAGTCAAAGCGTTTTTACATTCATTAAAAAAAAATGAAATGATAATGCCCAATTAAGAAATGACACATCAAAACATAAACTTAATATATGTAGAGGTTGCTGATGTAGCTGGCGTTTAAATTTTTATTCCAGTATGTAAAATTTTGTTTATTAATTATCCCAAAAGATGAAATTGTGCCTAATCACTCATTCAAAAATTAAACATGATAACCTTATTTTCATTGATCATTTGTTAGATCAAGCTTTCATAAAAAAGCCATCGAGCTGTGAAATCGTTTTCATTCAGTTCTCAGACTTCTAAAATTTAATACGGATGAAAGTGCTAGTCATATTGTAAAATTCTTCGAACCATCCCACCGGGAGTTGAAGGGTAGCCCTATGACAGCGAACTAATCACCTGGGACTTTTCACTATAGCAAATCTTACACATTTACTCTTTTCAACAGTACCAACCCACATCTTTTGTCCACTTCTTCTGTTTGTTGAAGCTGTGGCTTCAAAATTTTTCAATCCACAATTTAATATCATACATGGAAGGCACTGAATCATTACAATGTATTAAAAAAAATTTTTGTGGAAAAACGTTGAGTAGCAGCAACATAATTCCTGGATAAATAATAAGCATTTATGGCTAACACTCATTGTTTGTTAGTCTAATTCGTCATCAACCAAGAAGTGCATCAGTGACCTCGAAATTATACTCGGATTATTATCTTAGCTTTCTTACCCTATTTAAAATCGCCTGTTTTGCTACCTCAACTTGTAATAAAAGATTTTACTCTAATGATTACTATAATTATAATTCAATGTAGAAACAAATAAAAGTTCTATTTATATTGTATAGATGGTGTGGTAAAGGTTTGTGTGTTTGTGTGGCTGGATCCGGCAAAGAAGAGAACAGGAATAATTCCTATAATGCTCTTAGGGCTTCATTTGCTCAACCATCTGGTCTATGTTTAGCTGTAACTGGTGGATCTAGTGGATATCTTGGTTATCAACCACAAAATGAAGGTCAACCTCCTCCCTACAATTATCACCAAAATCTATCAATATTTGTAGCAGATGCGGAATCATCAACAGTTAGACGTGTTTATTTAGATACAGGAAGTAATAATAGTTCAAGTGCATCAGCAAGCACTCGTTGTTGTACAAGAGTGTTGAATGTATGTGGAGGATCACCAGACCCAACAGTAATTATTTTAAAAAATTTCAGTGGGGCTTTGTTAATATATTTTTAATTTGCTGAATTTTGGTTTTTCAGGATTTATTTAGCTATGGAGATATAGACGGGCCAGCTGGTACTAACAGCCGTCTTCAACATCCAATGGCTGTTGCATGGAATAGAAAAAAAAATACACTTTATGTGGCTGATACTTATAATAACAAAGTGAAATGTGTTACTGGTATAGTTGGAGGACCAATTCAAAATCAGAACTCTACTGATCCTGGCTCAAATGCAAAAGGAAATGTTCATGCTTTACCACTACCAGTTAAAGTGAGGTTAAGGGCTTTTAATTTATATAAATATAATATTACAAATTTATATACTTACAGTTGAATGAACCTAATGGCTTATATTATATTGAAAGTGGAAATGGTACAAAACGAGATGAGCCTAATAGTGAAGTAGAAAATTTATTGCTAATAGCCAATACAAATTCACATAATATTTACATTTATAATTTTAACACTTATGTCATTAAAAAGGTATTATATACATTTTTTTAATGTTAATTATTAAGTTATTATGTCATCAAGTTAAATCTTTATTTCTTAAGCTTCAATTGGAATTCCCATTGATATATGAAACTAAAAATGTAGTAGGAAATGCTCATGTACTCCTTTCAAACAATGGAAATTCTCCTGCTCAGTTAATGGTTCGTGGCAAAGTATCATGGCCAATGCATGGATTAAATGAGGATAACAATTCAGACTCTCCTCCTCTAAAGTGGATTCTACAGCTACCAGGTATGATGAAGCGATATCTTATTATTTTATTAGGATATTATTTAAATAATTTATGCATTTATAGATAACACGTGGGAATCAAAGGAAATTAAAAGTGCAGCTAATGATTTCAAATATTTGATAAGGATACCAGTCAAACAAAGAGAAGAAAAAGAAATTGAAGTTGATAATGAAAGAGATGATGATTTAGAAGGAGAAAATGGTGAAGGTAGTTCAGATGAAGATCCTCAACTAGTTATCTTAAGATGTGAAACTAGTATATGTACTACAGATCCAAATGCGGGATCTGTGTGCCTGCCTGTTCAGTTTGACTTTGTAGTTGAAGTACGTTTCTCTAATAGTAAAGATGCTCCATTAGCAGCAGATGCATATTTTCCTTATACAGTTCAAGTACCCACTACAGGATTAAATTTGAATAACTCTAAAAGTCTTGTGACACTAAATGACAATTGCGAAAATTGAAAAAATAACTTGTATTAATGTTTTATAACTTTTAATATTATTTTTATATGAAGAAACATACTCTGTATATATATATTTAATAAATAATTAATTTACTCTAAATATTGTTTTTTTTTTATTAATCATGTTATTAATAAAAACTCAATATAAACTTAAAGAGGTTGCTGCACAGTGGTGACGTGGCACAGTTGGGTTAAATATAATGATATATGACAGTAATTAAAATCACTATCATAAAAAACGCTTCGGTGCAAATCTTTAGATAGTGTTTAATTTTAAAAAATTGGTGGATTATTCCAAAAGCTACATGATACTGANCTTCGGAGTACCTCAATACGTTACGACTGACCGTGGTACTCAGTTTGTTTCAGCTACTTTAAAAACTTTAGCAAAACGTTTTGGTTTTACGCTTCGCCCCACTACCAGTTGGCATCCTGCTGCAAACGGATTCGTCGAACGAATGCACCGACAACTAAAGGCAGCCATCATGGCCCACGCAAAAGACTCGTGGACTGAGTCACTGCCTATCGTGCTTCTCGGAATACGTTCTGCGTTTAAGGAAGACTTAAAAGCCACGTCTGCGGAACTTGTTTATGGGGAGCCTCTTAATCTTCCTGGTGATTTCTTCACAGACAATCAAGATAATAGCAGTACGAACGACCCTACTAGCTTACTAGATCGTCTTCGCAGTGTTATGAATAAAATCCGTCCAGTACCTGCATCTCGCCACTCAAATCCACGATCATTTGTTTTTGCGGACCTTAAGGACTGTTCACACGTATTTCTCAGGGAGGGAGGTGTCCGAGCAGCACTTCAACCGCCATATCAAGGTCCCTACGAAGTAATTGCCCGAAATGACAAAACGTTCACAATAAAAGTTCGAAATCAACCAGTTACGGTGACGATTGATAGAGTAAAACCTGCCTACCTCATGGTGAACGAAAGCACAACCGATAGCCAGGCACATGCTCCACCAGCGACTGCCCCGAATACGCCCAAACAAAAACAACCGCCTAATACCGATCCATCAACACAGCCAGTACGAACAACTCGCTCAGGCCGCCGAGTCAGATTCCCGGACATTTTTGACCCTAGCTAACTCCACTCCGTAGGGGGGTGGTGTGGCGGTCGAATGTTCGGCCGCCGCCGCCTCTAGAAGATTCCTCTGACTATTTAAGGGCAAGATCGTCGCTCCAGTCAATCAATCGATCAGTCAATCACTTACGCACTCTGTCTTAAACGCGCTTCGTCTCTCCCTGTTATTTGTTAGATCGTTGTAATATAGTATAGTTGTTATTAAATCGTAAAAGTGTTTATTACTTCTATATATTACACCTCGCTACATCTTTCTATATATTAAAATTGTAAGCCCCTCTAAATATGAACCACCTGGTTATGAACTAAAATCGTAATTATATTAATAAACTAAATATTTATGAACAAATAGTTTTTTTTATAAAATACTCTATTTCAGCATGTAGATAATATACTACTTTAATAACTTGTATTTTTTATAAATTTTAAATTAAAATAATAAATTCAATCAATTAAATAGTTTCTTTTCAGTTACTCAATTTTTGATAAAACTATGTTTATAAGTACATTTTCTTAAGTAGCATAGCGAACTCTAAATTTTAATGATGTATTCGTTAAATGTACATGATTATTAGTTATTTTAAGATCAATTTGAAGATTAGAATTTGAACTTTCGAATCAGCATCATAAAATTTTTAAAGCTATTTTGAGGCATTATTTATATATTAAATATAATTAAATAGCCTAAACTATAGTTGGTATATATGACAAAAAATGAAATGAAATTTCATTGTAGGGCTATGGGTTTAATTTTTGTAATATATTGTTTCATCTAGTGAATGCAGGTCTTATTCTTTTTCATATTTGTACCATATGATTAAATAGCTTTTAAATTCTAATGCAGCGCTATCTATTAATCGAAAATTAGTTATATTTAGTTATTTGAAACTAGATGGCGTAACATAGCCTAGCTCCGAATGCTATTACAAAACAGCTCAACCAGAAGTCAAAATGACAAGCTAGTCTTATAACTACGAAGACAGTTTATACATGAACAAAAAAATTTATGGATAATAAAAATAATATGGATTGAAATAAAAGCATTAACAGAAACCATTTTATAGTCTCTATGGACGTCATATAGATATCCAAACAATAGATAATAGTTTTTTTAAACATATTTTGTTATACAATTCAATTGAACTATCAGCAGTCTAAATGAAAATTAGTGATGGGCACTACCGAGTAAATAGTATCGAACTATTTGATAGTCTAAAACTATCGTCAGAAATGAATGTTTTTTAAAAGTATTTAAATATCCGAATTACCGACCGTAGAAGTGTTACAATGAATTATATGATTTACTAACCATTCAGTCAGAGCTGTATTTAAAATTTTATCATCGGATGTCTACATGAATTGCCCTTTAAATAATAAATATAGTTTAAAAAAAATTAAAAAAACACGCTTTTAAAGAACATCGAACTAAAAAGTTAAAAATAATTTTTAAAATAATTATGAATAAAAAATACTAGTATTATTGTGATAAAAGCGTCGGGCGCTCAATATACGAAAAATATGGCACAAAGCACCCACGCTTTTATCACAATAATACTAGTATTTTTTATTCATAATTATTTTAAAAATTATTTTTAACTTTTTAGTTCGATGTTCTTTAAAAGCGTGTTTTTTTAGTTTTTTTTAAACTATATTTATTTTTTACTTTTTAGTTTCATGTTATGATAGTAGTTACTATCAATATTATGGTTGTAACGGGTAACGGGAAATCAGGGTTCGATTCCGGGGAAGGAGTCTGGGAAACGGCTACCACATCCAAGGAAAGCAGCAGGCGCATAGATTACCCACTCTCGGAACATGGTGGTAATGACGAAAAATGACAATACGAAATCATCCTTTGTAATCGGAATGAATACACTTTATATCTCTAAATAAGAATAAAGCGTGTTAATATTTATTTTTAATAGTAATTAGAATATATATATATACATATAAAGCGACTTAAGTACGTAAACGTACTATGCACTAAGTATAGCTGTGTTTTGTTGGCGGGCGGGTCGGACTAACGTTATACCTGAGGTATTAACGGCGGTAGGAATATATACGTAAGCCGTATGCACGCGGATAATGGTCAGTCAAAATAAAAATTTGTTTATATATATATATAATATTGATGACACGCACGTGTGTACGGGTACGATAACCAAAAATAAATTTATACAGGAATAGTATTGCCGGCGTGTGATGAGCGAGGCGTGGGGTGGGGTGAATGCGTTATGACAGTCTAGTCTAGACGACGGAATATGCGATAACGCGTGGCGTTTGGAGAGTTACAAACATACATACATANACATACATTGGCGTTTGGAGAGTTACAAACATACATACATACATACATACATACATACAGGTGAAACTAATATAAGCGTGTTAAAAATAAATAATAAAAAATAAATATAGTTTAAAAAACTAAAAAAACACGCTTTTAAAGTACATCGAACTAAAAAGTTAAAAATAATTTTTAAAATAATTATGAACAAAAAATACTAGTATTATTGTGATAAAAGCGTGGGTGCTTTGTGCCATATTTTTCGTATATTGAGCGCCCGACGCTTTTATCACAATAATACTAGTATTTTTTGTTCATAATTATTTTAAAAATTATTTTTAACTTTTTAGTTCGATGTACTTTAAAAGCGTGTTTTTTTAGTTTTTTAAACTATATTTATTTTTTACTTTTTAGTTTCATGTTATGATAGTAGTTACTATCAATATCATGGTTGTTACGGGTAACGGGAAATCAGGGTTCGATTCTGGGGAGGGAGTCTGAGAAACGGCTACCACATCCAAGGAAAGCAGCAGGCGCGTAAATTACTCACTCCCGGAACGTGGAGGTAGTGACGAAAAATGACGATACGGAAATCATCCCTCGTAATCGGAATGAATACTTTATATCTCTTAATTAGAATAAATCGTGTTAATATATTAATTTTAATAGTAATTAGAATATATATATTTATACAAATAATGCGACTTAACTACGTAAAAGTATCATGCACTAAGTATAGCTGTGTTTTATGGCCGGGCGGGTCGGACTAACGTTATACCCGAGGTATAAACGGCGGTAGGAATATATATATATATACGTAAGGCGCATTAGACGCGGGCGTTATTGGTCAGTCAAAATAAAAATTTGTTTACATATATATAATATTGATGACAAGCACGCGTGTACGGGTACGATAACTAAAAATAAATTTTTATAGGAATAGTGTACCGTCGTATTGTGAGCGAGGCGTGGGGAGGGGTGAATGCGTATAACAGTCTAGTCTAGACAACGGAATATGCGATAACGCGTGGCGTTTGGAGAGTTACAAACTTACAAACAACAAACAACAAACAACAACAAACATACACGTGAAACTAATAAAAGCGTGTTAAAAACAGTTAACTTTATTTTTCCATCATATTTTTCATTACAAGTCTACTTTTTTCCAAGCTTTCATCAAAAAATATAATGATAATCTAAAACGAAGAAAATGTTGGATGTATAAAGAATTTTATTAATCAGTAAAAAGGAAATTATTAAAGAATAATTATCATCTATTTATTAATTACTAATTTTTATTTATATATTATTATTATATATATATTTTGAAAACTATCGAATATTTTCTGGTGGTTCGATAGTTTCAAACTAGTCAATCGTGGATAATAATAATCGAATGACTCTATTCGATAGTTTTTTTAAAAATATTGTATATACCAAGTTAACAACTATTCGACAATGCTCATCACTAAAGAAAATATTGTTTGTGATATGAAGCTTCGATAGTGCACGTGGTCTGTGTGTAATGAAACCTGTTTTTTTATCGTATTTAAACTTGATAAGTATTACAACAATTTGAATACATTGTGTATATCGTTTAAATTTAAATAATTTCGTCTATTTTTTGAACACACATTTTTTATTATAAATTAAGTATACTTTAACACGGCCGCCGGGAATTGACGGCCGGTTATGGAAAGTGTACCGGAAATCATGTGAAAAAAGAGGCACGGTACGGGATTAGAATTACGACCCAAGGTGTCGTAAAGACAAACCTAACCACTAGGCCACCGTGCACTTATGATTCAGATCACGAGTGTGAAGCTACCAATTCGTGGTCCACCAACTTCTTATCACTAACAAATATTGGTTACCTTTCGGTTACCGATATTTTATAGAGTATAACGCTTTTTCTAACCGATAGATGTAGACACATAATAACAAAAAGCATATATTAAACGCTTTTACCAATAATATACACAACAAAGATCTGTCGGCCGGTGGGAGTATATATACAATTACTATCGTATACACCGCCGTACCAACTCGAATAATTGTGAACGACCACTGCATTTAACAACTTAGCATTTGATANGATATTTTCTATACATTTTCTGAAAGCTTATAAAAAACTCTATAAGTGGTGTGAAAAGCTAACGGGTGAAACGTGCAGGTATAACTGAATATTGCAAATCAAGACCGCGAAAATTACTTTTGATAGCGTATAAACGCATCAACTCGGCCACAGTAATTTGCGAATTAGTGAATGTTCCGAGACGAGTCCAGATATTTTCTATACATTTTTTGATAGCTTATAAAAAACTCTATAATATAATATCAAATGCTAAGTTGTTAAATGCAGTGGTCGTTCACAATTATTCGAGTTGGTACGGCGGTGTATACGATAGTAATTGTATCTATACTCCCACCGGCCGACAGATCTTTGTTGTGTATATTATTGGTAAAAGCGTTTAATATATGTTTTTTGTTATTATGTGTCTACATCTATCTGTTAGAAAAAGCGTTATACTCTATAAAATATCGGTAACCGAAAGGTAACCAATATTTGTTAGTGATAAGAAGTTGGTGGACCACGAATTGGTAGCTTCACACTCGTTTCAGATCGCGATACACTTTCATATAGATTGATAACGCGATGTGCGGCTGTGGGAAACACGTTACTGTGTCAACTTGTTAAATGAATTACTACGTATGTCATTGATTGGATAATTATTTAAACAATGATCTCAAATAACTATTCAGATGATACCAGAGATAATTATTCTAAGTTAAAAGAAGGTAAACCTGTACACAATAATTTTTTTCATCGCAATAATGAAAATCAACCACGCCAATTTTATCAACATAATTATTGTAGAACTAATAAATTAAATAAGGAAACAATTCACAAAGGGAAACACGAATTATATAATTCTTCTGAGTTACTAGAGCCAGATCCATCTGCTCTTTATCATACTAACCAAGCTCTTAATTCATTTTTAAATAAAAAAAATGAATTTTTTTATAAAAAGAAAAAATTTAATAAGAAATTTGATACTATTAAAACTCAAGCCTATTATCCAACAAGTAAGCCTACAGTAATTAATTTTAACATAACAAAAAGTAGTATATTTGAATGTGCTGTGGTAGAATCAAAAGTCTTATCAGAAAAAGACAGTTCAGTAACTATGGATTTTAATTTAAATTCTTATAAACAAATATCAATGATAGGAAATAATTATAATTCTTATGTTACGACTGAAAATTTAAAAAAAAAGCATATTTTAGAAAGTAAACATCCAAATTTAGATGATAGCATTCTTAAAAAAAAGGGTACTTCCCATAATATGATATTTTTTTGTGTTGATGAAAGTGGTGTACGGAACGAAGAAGATGATAAACCACCACCATTATCAAATATTGGAAAAATGTCTATAATGACACAAAAAAATTCTTATAGTACTCGTAATAGAAATGTAAATTATCATGATGTATTGCTATCTAATTTGACTGCCAAAGATTTAGATTATGATAGGTATGCTCGTTATTCACAACATGAATGTGAAGTTAAAGACTATGTACGAACTATCACTTACAAAAATGCCATTGAGCAAAATGTTGAAAAACTACAAGTAAGTTTGTGTTAATATGAACTTTTGCTCACTTATTTATTTTTAAATATATTAATCACAAAGTGTATTTTAGAACTCAGTTGTAATGGTACTTAGGACAGGATTAGGGTTATTAGCTATGATGTGTGTTAAACATGGTAGAGCTAGAAAAGTTATTGCATTAGAATCAAGTTCCTGTGCAGAATATGCTGAGCAAATTATTAAGGATAATGGATTAAACCATGTGATAACTGTTTTACGTAAAAAGGTATGAGTAAAATAATGAGTCTATATGAAATTATTTTCTCATAATATTTAACAGAGTAATTATTATTTTAGCCATCAGAAATTAATGATCTAAAAGATTTCGGGGTACAGTATGTAGATGCTATCGTTTCAGATTGGATGGGTGATTGTGTGTTAGGTCATGGTGATCAATTAGAGGATCTTATCATAGCTAGAGATACATTCTTAAAACCAAAAGGCAATGAAATTTATTAAAATTCATTAATAAAAATATAAAAATTATTTATTAAATTAATAATGTATTGTATTTTAGGACTTTTAATTCCAGAAAATGTACAGCTTTATGCTCAAGCGCATGATTCAAGGAAACATTTTCAGTATAACTTTTCAGTGTGGCATAATGTTTATGGTTTCAATATGGATGCCGTGACAAGAGCAAATTTATTCAATGGAAAAAGATCAAAAAAAAAAGGAAAAAAGAAAACAAAAAATAACAAACAACCAATTATTGACTTTTTTGATCCATATAAAGTAAGACTATGATATTTTACATAAATTATATAGTTATTTGTATAAATTCAAAATTTATCAACTGATATTTCAGTTATATATATATATATATATATATATATGAATATACAGGAATTGATTTGTTGTGACAAATATTATATAAAAGAAATATATATTTAAAATATTTATTAAAAACTAAAAAATATTAACATTATTTTTAGTTATATATAATTTTTATATTTATCTTATTTATAGTTTAAAAATATTTTTAATTTTAAACATTCTTAAAAGAGTGACTCAGGCCTCTACCTCTAAAAGTGTTTGAAGAGTGTCCCCTCAAAAAAATTTAGAAAATCTAGTAGATCTACCCATTTTTTTTTATAAGACTATCTATAGTAACTTGGAATTCTCAAAATGATATTTTGAATAGAGAGTCTTTCAAAACATTTTTTTCAAACTAAGTTCTGTACATTTTTTAACCAAGTAAATAATATAGCTACTGCGGATAATTAAAATAATGATGAAAAATTTACATTATTTTGAATGACAAACTTTAAATTTGTGCTATAACTTCTGAATTTTATAAAAACACCTTTAAAATAAAATTTTGTTTAGTACCACTAAATAAACCAATGTTTATTTTTTAGTTATTCTAAAGCATCTAGTAATTTTGTAGCCAAGATTGGCTTCAATTAAACTGTTAATTAAAAGTTAAGAAGTTTTAAATTTATTGAATAATCAAGTCTCAAGGGTAGGACTAAAAAGGCTAAAACCTTTTTGAAATTTTAAGAAAATAATGTTAAATTACTTATGTCATCTATGAATGACACCAAAATATTCTTAATTTGTGTATCATAATATGTGATAATATTATATTTGATATTATAATTAGGTTTAACCTCTTCTCTTAAAAATCAGATTATTTTGTGTACTCCGGCTATTAGGATTTTTTAAAATAAATTATAGTTGCAGATATTTTATTTTATTGTAATATTGTAATTCTAAAATATTAAAATTTGATTTTATTATTTTAGGTTGTATCAAATGCTTGTATGTTATATGAATGGGACTTACACAAGTGTTCATTGAAAGATGCTTGTGGTATTCACAACTTACCCCTACAATTAGTTTTTGCAAGAAAAGATTACTGCCATTTATTAGAACTTTTTTTTGTTGTTGATTTTCCATCTACTCTTTCGAATGAAATTGCATCATTACCTTCTACTACTATTAGAAAAACATACGATCCAACAACATCAATCGGATTTTCAACAAGTTCATTTAGTCCAAAAACTCGATACAGACAATGTGGATTGTTGTTAGATCAAGAACTTATAGTTGAAAAAGGAGATACATTTAAGGGTTTCATTTGTATTTGGAGAGAGCAAAGAAATAAAAATATTTCTAAAAAAAATAGTGATAAAATGTGTAACTGTTGTAAAAATAATCCCTCCACTAATCTAGAAAATTCATTAATACATTTAAGAAATGAATACCTTAATATTTCCCTTAAATATAGTTTTAAAAATAAGCATATGGCGAACTCTGATGTAGTTTGTCAATATGAATTGCTTAGGCAAATATTTTAACTTATTATTATTCAAGTAATAATTAAGTATGTTTTAATGCATGTTAAATTTAAATTGTTATTCTTTATTTTGTTTCAACTATTTGTTGTTATGTAATGTGTTTTAAAATTGTTTTCATTAAAATTAACTGTATTTCTGTGAAGTTAGTTTTAAATCTCAGGAAAAACTTAATAATTAAGATGATTAATATTTAAATAGTTTATATAAAAAAAAAAAACATTATCCTAGTGTCTATTTAAATTATCAGCTGCTTTTTTTTATTTAGTGTCAAATATTTTTCATTATTTAATAAATAAATAATTAATATTTTTGCTTGAAATTCTTTGTATTAATTACATATAAGTTGAGCAGTAAAGTATTGCCACAATAAAGTAATAAATATATTCCTGTATTATATTTATAAATCTTAAAATATAATTAAGGAAATAAATTGATTTGCTTTTAGAAAAATCTAACATTTCTGTCTAAAAATTAAACATCTGTAGGTTAACATCAAAGTGTTTTTGATGATAGTGATTTTAATCATTATTAGATATCATCTATACTTGTCTGAACTATGCCATTCCTACTATGCAATGGCTCCTCCACTAGGCTGTTTTTTTTTTTAATAAAAAAAAATTTCTATATTAAAATGCATAAATACATTTACAGAAAGCTAACTCATTTTTCTTAATGAGTAGATGTGGACTTATTTAAATTACTTTTACATAAAAATGTTTTTTAAATGACATTTGTTTTCTATCATTATTTTATTGATAATATTTATGAATGTATAATAATTATTTTGTATTTATTTTATCTATATTTGTAAATTATAGATTATTAAAAATAAACTTTGGAAATTGCATTATATTTTCTAAAAGAGTCAATAACTGAAGTCAGTAGAAAGGATTAAGGTTTGTGTATTAAAAAAATTATAGCCATAAGTGAACTTAAAAAGGATTTTTTACCACTGATTGATTTTTTAAATCATGTATTTTATTAAATTATTTTTGTTAAAAAAACTAAGGAATAAAATATGTTAATATTATATAAAATAATTTACGTATAATTTATAAACATAAATATTTTTTAGTTATTATTAGATCAATGTATTTTAGTAAGGTAATACCTTTAAGACATTAATTTATTTAAATAAAGTTAGATTTACAAATTGTTAAAAACAGTTACTTTCTTCTATAAAGTTACACTTTTGTACCATAGTACCTTTAGTATATATATATATATATATAAATTTTTTTTTTTTTGTTTTTATTAGTTTATTTATACATTTTCATTTAGCATTCATATAACATTAATTAACTACATAACTTTTTTTTATAGCGATGAACAAAAATACATTTTTAACATTTAAATTCTTTTTTTATTAATTACATTTAATTATCGCATGTTATTTCGTGGAATATTTTAAATTTTGCTATCGTGATTTTTTCTTGTAAACACTATAATAATTGGGTAAGCTACTAAATATACAATACATAGTATAATTAATTCAAGAAAAAACTTCTGTTCCTATTACTCACGAGTCACATATAGTTAGAGAAATCTGTATGATGATACAGATTTCTATGAATTTTATAAAGTTCATAAAATAATTATAACTTTTGTATAAAATAAGTGTACCAATATAGAAAATGATAAAAGTTGCCACTGTTTAACTCACGTTATATCAATTTTTACAAGTCAATATACTTTAAAAGCCTAAGCAATGACTTATTAAGGTTTTTATGTCTCTTAATTTGCGATGCTAGTAATTTCTTTACACTCGTAACTTTAGACGGGATTTTTCTTTATTTTTAATGACATAAAATGTGGTATAACGTTATACCACATTACTGTTATTACTTGTACTAATAAGAACCGAAGAGGTGATCAGGTTATTATATCTTTATTTATTAATTTTAATAGGCAAAAAATTAACATAATATTTAATTTTATTTATCTTAAAAATCAACGTTTATTAGAAATGGATATTGTAACTATAGAATGAATCAAATTTATTTTGTGCTATAGTTTTAAATTATTTTTTACTTAATTTTGTTTTGTTATCAATTATTGATAAAAATAAATTCGCAGCAAAATAGTATTGATTTTTTATTCTTCAGTCAACTATAGTTAATTTTGTCAGAATGGTCCCATTAAAAGGTGAGTAATTTTTATTTAGTATATTATTTTATTTTTTAGAAATATGCATAGAAACTATACATGTAAATCAATTATAATAATGGAACATAAATATGCTTAATAATAATATGTTCCTAACTATAAAATTAGAATCATTCAAAACAAATTAATTAAGGTATAACGTAATGAGGTGAATAAAGTTTTGAAAACGGATTTTAAATCATATTAAATTTATCATGTATATATTTTACGAGTCTTCCATTTTTAGAATCGTATTGGCTTATAAGTTATTACATAATATGTCAAACAGATAATCGGTTTTATGTCATATCCCTTGTAAGTTAGTTTCGTTATTTTACTTAACATTTTTTTTAGGCACTAGCATTATATTGATTGAAAGCTAAATGTTAACTTTCTAGCATTTAACTGATTTTTGACTAATTTAATAAAAACATTGTAATTTTTTGGATATTGACTAAAATGCAACTGTTCAAAATATTCAGCTAAATTACTTTCGTTATAAATTTCATGTTAGTTAAATAAACTTGTTTATTAAGTAAAAATTACTAATCAATGAGTTATAAATAATTGAGTATTTGAGGACTATTAATTTACCACAATAAAAAAGTCTGAACAATAACATGGGAAAAAAATTGATTAATTACTGAAAGGAAAACATGATGAAATTGTCGGACAACGGTCACCAACAAATCACAACGATAATAAAAGCAATAAAATATGACACCCCAGTAAAATATTAATCATAAAAATTAATTATAGTAGAATGGCTGCCGTTCATTCATAGTTGGGATTTCCACTCCTGTGCCTCGTTGAATAGAATGGCATGTGTTTTATACGTTACATTATTTTTATTGCACGATGATAATTATTTGAATGATAATTTCAGTATAAAATTAAAATACTGCAGGGATCCATCAATGTGGATTTGAGGCATTTTTTAGATTAGTATTGATTAATATCTAATTGTATTTTTAATTACTATCACAAGACGTTTTGATGTGTACGAAACATCGTATATGAAACAAATTATAGTAAAAATATATCTACCAAAAATTATAAGATTTTCGATCTAAGAGGCCGATTATTTATAAAAAATAATTCGTAGGAACGTCTTTCTATTTTTAATCATATTGTACATTAAATAATAGTTACAATTTTATTTAGTTTTGAACTATTTAGATGTTTTTTTTTATCCTAAACATTTCAAAATTGATCATTTTTAAAGAAAATTGTATGATTTTTAATTTTAATGTCCGATAGATCTTATAAATTAAGTTTTCGGATAATTATTCTTTTACTATATATATATATATATATATATATATATATATATTCGTTTTATCATATAAGTATATTGTACTAGATTTAATTTGATAAAATTTTAAAGAAGATAGGGTTTTTAAACGTTATTAAAAATTAAAAAGAAAATAATTTTTAATTATTTAAATATATATAAAATTATTTTCATAAATTTAGATAAAATTATCTAAAAATTATTTTCAGAAGAAAATAATTTTTACAATACATTTAAATGCCCACAGTTCTTTGATTGGATTTTATAAACAACAGTATATCATCTATTAAAATGTTAAAAATGTTGCTAATAAATATTTCGCTCATCGTGAACGGTCTATTAAAAAAAAAAAGTTATTTCAATATAAAATAAAATAAAAATATCAATAACTTTGACTTTTTTTTTATTAAAATTAATTAATGTAAATGCAATTTTTGGGGATATTTCCCTTTATTACTAGGATTGAGGGAAATTTTTAAACATGATAAATCTAGTTAATGTTGAAGTTATCATAATAACTTGAACTAGTTACGTTTTGTGATTTGTATTGTTGAGCAAAATCGTGTCCAGTGGTTTAAAAAAACCAGGGCAATGTAAAGCCAATACACCTACATATTCAAGCTAATGGAAAACAATTTTCTTGAAAATATAAATGTCGGTTTGTATGTGTGCTGACTGAGCTACAGTTCTCTAAAATGAATTCACTTTTGAACAGTCGACCGAAAGTTATATGTATTAATGCAGACCTCCCTTCGTACCCATCAACCTCTCTATCTTGCAGTGTAAAAATTATTGTGAATATTATCCACTGAATGCACAATGAAGTATTTCAATATTACATTTTGAACAGTTTTAAATATAATTCAATTCCGTACAAAACGTACGTGGACTCGTATATAATGATATTATGTGACCGCTTTTAGTGGTGGGCGGGCGGCAACCCATTCACGTACACTACGTCAATCATAATAATTTTATAATTCTTGAACATCTCTTAAGGGTAGACTTTTCCCTGTAGATTATTTAATGTGCATTATACAATTATATTCAATTGTAGACCTGTTAAATTAAGAAATGGGGGTGATGTAATATAAAAGCACACTACAATTTTTCACTTAAAATGTACACGTAATAGAGGTAAGCTATTATTTTTGTAACAGATATTCATATTATTGAGTGACATACGTTAGCATAATAATAATTATGCTAACAATTATTGTTTTTATTTGAGTTATATTTTGAAAATCAAAAATTAAAAATTTATCGAATTTTATAAATTTTATAAAACAATCATAACGTAATGATGTATGCATTTCTCGCTTTCAAATCGGCAACAAGATTGTTATAAAGTTAATTAAACGCTATACTGTCAACATTATTTAAATACACATTCTAATACTACTTATTAATATTATTTTTTCGATGTGATGAAATTGCAGGTTTAATAAACAGTTCCGAATAAAAGTGTAAAACTTTTGGAGTGTATATTTAATTTCTTGGTAATAAATTATAATTGAATAAGTTTTCTGTTTAATAAGTTTCATTCTGACACGTTTTCTTTAGTTCAAGTTTTAATTGACACGGTTTTGGCGAATTCATTTTTTTGTTTAGCTACTAATTTAATAATGGCGAACAGTGAGGGAATAGCAAGGAATCATTAGATTCGTCTGATATTCGTTTGCGTATCAGGTACGCAATTCAGGTCGCCGATCTTTTTTTTTAATAAAATAATAGACCGCAGCCGTGGGGATTTGTGCACCGAAATATCATCGTGTGTGCTTTAAAAAATTTATCATTCTTATTATTATTATTGTTGCGTATTAACCGGCACGGAGCACCAGAAAATCATTATAACAATTTTCCCGACGGGGAAGAGACCGGGAAATAATAATGGAAACCAGCGAAAACCATATATACACACATACAAAATAATAATCGCGTGATTTGTTTTCCTCGCACGGATGCGGGAAGGGTAAGTGACAGGCCAACACGCACACGCCACCTCCCCTCCTTCCCCCCGCCCACCGAGAGAACCGAAGAGATTTTTCCTCGACACGCATACCCGCTTACCCTGCGTGAACACTAATGACGTTTCCCGCACCCGCTATTCTCACACATACGGAGGCTAATACGTCTAATAACACTACCGTTACAACAACCATTACTGATTACTGATTATTTACTATTACACTATTGTCTACTAGCAACAATCGCGTCCGAGAAAATTACTGTTGCTGTGATTATTGTGATGATAAAAAAAAAAAAAAAACCCATAGCTCAGACCCGGAGTCATCATAAGCTACCGATAATTCTTCATCCTAACCGGCGTGATGAATAAAAATATAACAGCAACAATAATTTAACAATACATAATTAATCATAAGTACAAGAAGCTTTGCACAGTACGATTTCCCGTTTGGAATGGATATGCGTGTTGTACTAATTAATACATTTAAATAACAAAAACACGAAATGTAAAACAATACATTATTCGACAGAAATGAGTTAACCACGTTTTTTTTTTTTTTTTTTTGTAAACTACGGTTAATAACATATATATATATATATAATTCGATACTCTGTATTTGTTGTATGTAATTAAACTTCAGTGTTATGAATTATAGTTATACGCAATCGTCGGTAGACCGTCATGTCGATGGAAAATAAATAATTAAAATTAGTTTTCTACATTGATGCAATTAGATATGGAAAAATAAATTCGAA